CATTACAAAACATTTCCACAAGCACCTGGGTTTACTTATACTAGGGCTGATTGCTGCTCACATGTAATTATAAACTATCAGAACAACTGCTTGGGCATTATAAATATTTGTAAATGATAATATAGGTATCCATGATCGATGAAAACTAGCATGTGCCCTGTGCACTGAAGAGTTTATATTAATAATTTGCCTTCCAAAGTTAATCATCCATAAATAATTGTACTTCCAAAGGGTTGTCAGGGTTGCTTTTCTCTCTTCTTTTCCTTTATCATGGATCCCAAAGGAGATGGTTGGGAAACTAGAATTGAAAGAAGGTGCCCCATCTAGAAATAGGACCAGAGAGATGGAGCAGGTAAAATGACTGTTCAGATTGAAAAATCTATATGAAAGAAAGTCAAGGGTTTGGTGGAACATCTCTTATTTTAATAAATATATTAATGAACAAGTATACCCAAGGGGTCTAAGAGTCCAGATTTTCCCTAAGATCAGAGAAATAAGCCAGCCCTGAATTAAAAACAAATGGGAGGAAAACCTCCAACAGTGCTCCCATAATATAGTGGTGTTGTTAAAAGAATATTATGAAGAACAAAGGGCTGAAATTTATAAAGATCTACGAGGAGTTTTGGAAGTTTTGCAACCCTTTAAACAGAATTCAACTGTTATTCAGAAAGAAAAAGAAATTTGTACCTCAATGGAAAAATTGAATAAGGATATTGTAAAATCAAAGAGTGAGAAGCGTATAGATGGAATAGAGTCAAACATTTATGGAGAACTCGAGAACAACAGAAGGAATACACAATCTATGATGAAAGTAGTCAGAGTCTGAAACAGGCAACCAAGAAAGGAAATCTTTCTTTCCACAAAGGGGAGGGTATCCTAGGGGGGGTAGAGGCTGGGGAAGTGGAGACACTGTAAAAGGAAAAATGTGGTGTTGGAAGATGTAGAAAAAATACAGTCTAATATAGTAATGGGTGTGGATACAGGACATACACAGCAACAACCCCAGTCAAAAAACGAGTGGGCTCTAAAAAACGCAGAAGGAGGAGGCACACAAGAAATAGAATATCAGGAGGATCAAACCCCGATTCAACAGGTTATCAACACAATAGGGCTGGCAGTACACATGCCACAATGAACCAGTCCCTAACTTACCTTCACCCCCTTCCCAAAAAATATGGGCTGGACCAGTATATGATACAACCAGGGAACAAGAAAGTCTAAAAGTTATAAATTTCTCCAGTGTGCAATTCTCTGAGGCCCAGCTTTCCCTTCTTCTTAGAAGTCTAACTTTTTGTCCCACTTTTTGTGGGGACATATTTGAAGTTGTCAAGGATGTCTATTTGCTAGAAGATTAGTATTATGGGCCCTGCATGATCGGAAATCCCAAGTTTCCCCCGATGGGACCATTGGGTGATTGGACATATCTAATTAGATGCGAATACAGGGCATTACGGGATTTGATGGACCTCTGGGAGGAGGAAAATGTGGATCTAGAGGAATCCTCACAAGAGTAGTTCTCCCAATTGATGTTGGACCTAGCATTGGAGGTGAGTGGGGAGGCATTTTGCTTACAAAATCAGGCAACACATACTGTCACATTGAAGGAGACCAACCTCTTTAAGAGATCTAGCTTTTCTTCCCCTTTGTTTGTCATAGCTGGAGTGTCTTGCTTTGTCAAGGTTGTCACCAACAAATTAATAAAACTGAGGTGGAAAGGAATGTCTAATGACAACCTGACTCCAGCAAAATGCAGTGCTTTTGATTTGATTATTAAAATGGCAGACAAGTGGGGAAACCTTGCTATAATGGACAGAATAAAATATGTAGGGATGTGCAAGCGATTTCTGAACAACAGGGACTGGTACACCCCCATACCAAGTGTCAATTTGGAAAGGGAAAAAAACCTGCTTATTTACTTTCATTGACCAGGCATGAGAAAAGAATATTGATTGATAGGGATACAGTTGAATTTTTGAAAGTTGAACATCCAATTATTCCAGTTCTTTATGCACTTCCAAAAATTCATAAATCAATGGACAACCCTCCAGGACGTCCAATGATATTGGGCATTGGGTTGCTCACGGAAAAATCCAATGAGTATAAAGATAAGATTCATGACAAATAAATTCTCCTTTGTTAGAGACACTTTGCACCTTTTGACACTATTGCATGGCTTGGTTATTCCCACTAATACAATCCTCCTTACCCTTGACATAGAGGCTCTTTACTCCTCAGTTCCACAGTCCACAGGTCTTCAGGTTATCAACAAAGTTCTCTCTAGTGGGGTGATAGACTAACAGAAGCATACCCAATTTGTGATTAAGGATTTTTTGACGCACAATAAGTTCCAGTTTAGTGGTAAAACATATTGCCAGACTCAAGGAACTGCCATGGGCACAAAATGTGCGAACATTTACCTAGGCGATTGGGAGAGTTGGCTTTTTGATGGAGGGAGGGATGTTGTTGGTGTGCCTGTCCAGGATTCTAGCCTGGTACAGGTACAATGATGACGTCCTCATCCTTTGGACAGGTACAATGCGACAGGCTTGAGGGTTTGTGAATGAACTTATGCCCAACCCATACAATTTAAAATTTAGCAGCAAGCGTAGCCCTAACTAGGTTACTTTTCTAGATCTAATAGTGGAACTGGATGGTAGGGGTGGTGTGAAAAACAAACTGTACAGGAAATCTACAGCCACTAACAGCTTGTTGGATGCTAGAAGTTTCCACCCACGCCCCCTGATTCAGGTAATCATGACAGGACCAATACCTGAGGGCAAGAAGAAACTGCTCAGATCTTCAGGACTTTGAAGTCGAGGCACCTAATTTGCGTGAGAGATTTTCTCAATGGGGGAATAAAAAGAAATGGCTTAAAAAAACCATATCAGAAAGCATTTGGATTTGGGCACAGAGAAAGAATTATGGAATCCCAAGACATTAGACTCAGCATGCAATACACTGAACTTTCAGATAAAGTTAGAAACATTTGTGCGAAACATAGGCACTTGCTGAATGAAAGAAGATCCCTCTGTGGATAAATATTTCTCAAATGTAATTTATAGGAAGGCTAAATCTGTGGGTAACTTAGTCCATAATGACATCAATTGGTCCTCCACCAGACTTGGCACACAAGTCGGCATGCACAAATGTGATATATGCAATGTCTGTCCCTTTATGATTGAGGAGGACACTTTAGATTTGCCAACAGGGAGGACCCTCAAGTGCTTGGCAGAGAGCCAGTTGTGATACAACTGGCGTAATACATGTCATCCATTCCGCCTTTGGGTCCTTCTACATCGACAAGACCATTCAAATAATTTGTAAGAGATTCCAGGATCATCTTTATGAGATTTCCATGTACCATCTAAAATTTCCACTAGCTAGACACTATTATGTTTGGAACAAGTATTAGTGGCTAGAGCATTTTATCTTTTTTTTTGCTACAATTTCTCTTTTTTGTGTACATTCTTTTATATAGCTTTGTACTGGCATGCTTTCCCATTGGGCTTAAGTTAATGTTGAATGTCTAACTACATGATTGAAGAGATGTTTAGCTTTATGATGTAGAAGACAGATATATTACCATCTTTAACTCCTTCACGCCTAAGGGTAAAACAAATCTTAACGCCTAAGCACAATCTTGCAACTTTGACATGTGTTAGTAAAACCGTACATATCATCACAACTACTTTGTACATCCTGGTGGATTATACCTTGTTTTTTTCACGACAAATTGGGCTTTCATTTGGTGGTAAATGGTAATGGATATCTCGTGATTTTTTTTTTTATTAGCAAAGGAAAACTGTCCCAAAATAGTAAACAAAATATATTTTTTTTTCTATTTAGCTGAGTGTTTCTGGTTACTGCCATAACTTACCATCTAAGAACAACCCAAAATAAATTTTCCAGTAGTGATACCATATATGTATGTTATTTGTTGTTTGTACCCACAGTATGGCCCAGAAACAATAGTGCGCATTTTGTTTTGTTTTTTTACCTAAAACACACTGACACTGATACCACTTTAAAAAAAAAAAATCCTGACCTTGACCCAAACACTAACCCTGGCACTGAACTAGATCAAACCTTGATCTAGGTATTTTTTCTTTTCTTTTTTAATATTTATTTATTTTTTTAACAAACCAGTTTTTTTTTTCCTCTATGCATGGAGAGAGAGAGAGATACAATGTATCTCTCTCCTCCATTCATAGAGAAAAAGAAGCAAGTGGGGCCGGATGTACAGTGACTGATCACTGTGTTAGCCAATCAGAGGCTATCACAGCAATCATGTGACCCAGAATCAGGAGTCCCGGGTCCCGATCATTAGAACGGGACCCAGGGCTCTCAGGGACACCCCCGGCCTTTGTGCTGCACAAAACAGGTACGCAAATATGCGGTCCCACATAAAAAAAGCACAGTTCTGTGAGGCCGCATATTTGTGTTACGTCGGCGTCAAGGGGTTAAGTGTAGGTATTGTGTTAGCCCCCTAGATGGCAGGATTCATCCTGCTTGTTGATGTTGGTTTGCTTAATACTTGCTTTGCTACATTACACCTGTGCTCAACTAATGTGTACGGCTTCTGGGGATCCGTGCGTGTGCATGACATCATGACGCACGCGCAGTACGCTGCAGCATGCGTGCTCGAAATGTCGTGGTGTTCCGTGCATGCGCGGCAGACGCCCAGTGGCCATTTTAGGCCCAATTGTTTGTAAGCATGCCAGACAAACACCAGCCTACCTTTGAGGCAGCCTGTCTATCTGGTGAAATCAGTCAGGATGGCCTAATCTCCACTGCCCCACACTGGGAAAACCATCTGATTGCTGCTTGGACTTGATAAGTATATGGAACTTATTTTAAGCATCTCTTTATAACTGTTTTGCATGTTCCCAAGGGCTTTGAAAATGGTGGTGTAACGGAAGCGTAGGCAGGACAGAGCACACGGAGAAGATGGGGAACACACAAAGCTTTATTGAAACAACAAAATGACAGACACTCAATTGGGAAATGGCAGGGAGGGTGATGTGTGCGCAAACCAGGGATGATTCCAGGCATGGGGGGTCTTCTCCAGCAGGCTGGCTTGTGCGGTCTTCCCCCCTTTGGACGCCTCAGCTGAGCTTCCTCCGTGACTGGACAGGGGATTGTAGACTCGGGCAACAGGCGGGCAACCTACCCCTGGGCAGGGGTCTCGGGGACTCAACGGGACTCTAGCTGTGGAGTCTGGCATAGCACAGCTCCCACCCAGCTTTCTAGGGACATCGGGGTCACGGGGACTCAACAGGACTCCAGCTGTGGAGTCTGGCCTAGCACAGCTCCCACCCAGCTTTCTAGGGACATCGAGGTCATGGGCACTCAACAGGACTCCAGCAGCTGTGGAGTCTGGCCTAGCATAGCTCCCACCCAACTTTCTAGGGACATCTGGGTCACGGGGACTCAACAGGGCTCCAGCTGTGGAGTCTGGCCTAGCACAGCTCCCACCCAGCTTTCTAGGGACATCGGGGACAGTTCAGAACACGGGTGGTCGGTGCACACAGCGGGGGCAGTTCAGAACACGGGTGGTCGGTGCACACAGCGGGGGCAGTTCAGAACACGGGTGGTCGCTGCACACAGCAGGGACAATTCAGAACACGGGTGGTCGGTGCACACAGCGGGGACAGTTCAGGACACGGGTAGTCTGTGCGCACACCAGGGACAGTTCAGGACATGGGTAGTCTGTGCGCACACCAGGGACAGTTCAGGACATGGGTAGTCTGTGCACACACCAGGGACAGTTCAGGACACGAGTAGTCTGTGTGCACAACAGGGACAGTTCTGGACACTCACGGTAAGCGGCTTGCAGACCCTCAGCAGCAGGCGGCTCCAGACAGGGACGACCAGCGGTCAGCGTTCCAGGGACGACCAGCGATCAGCAGACAGATTCCAGGGACGCGCAGCAGCTCTCAGGGCACTCAGCAGCGGACAGGGTGCAGGAGTGCTCAGTAGACAGGCTGGCAGGGTCTGAGCTTTGGGGTCTGCAGAGCTGCGGAGCCTCCCAGCCGGGGACATTCAGCGGAGGGCAGTGGGTACTCCCAACCCTGGGGTATTGCAGAGGGCCACAGGCCTGACCTTTTGGGGGTCTGCAGAGTGTGCAGCGGTGATGGCTGGGGAGGCTCAGTCCCCCTCACCCGAGCCTCCCAGCGTCTTTCCGGGAACAAGATGATTCCAGCAGCATGGACAGGAACAAAGAGGAGGGCTGCTTCCTGGGCAAGTCTATTTAGAAAACCACGTGGGACGCTGCTGGGTTGCCTCGGCAACGGACGGCCCACCACCATTCATGGAAGCTACATGGACATTGGAATGTGCAAGGGGGGAGGGAGGGGTGGAGGGATATATGGCGGGGGATGGGAGAGGCACTGGCACTCCGTGACAGGTGGCATCATTTTATATAAAAAAAACACAATAAGGACCTCCTGCACTGCTTAATAAACAAATGATAATTAAGAGGAGGGGGCTGCTAACACCCAACCATATACCAAATGGATATTATGCAAATTATAGAATAATATGGTGCAGCGCTACCCCAAATAATACTGTATTCCCACACTAGCTTATTCCAAAATATCAGATGTAATAATAAAAATTGCACAAAATGGTTAAAATAATCCAAAATAGCTCATATCAAACATAACTTGTATGTGACTATTCATTGCCCCCCATGTATTCAGTGAATAAATAAACCAATCACTCACAAAATATAATAAGGAATAAATACACATTATTAAAGTGATATCACGAAAAATTATATTAAAAAAAACTTTTAAAGTGTCGCATAAAATAAATCCAAAGAAAAAGTTCAAAGGTGCATAAACACCTTCAAGGATGATATCCGTCTGCAGCGGTGATATCTCCTTCACAAGTGAATGGAAGTAGCAGCAGGATCCCCCTCAGGGATGATTTAGTAAGATACAGCCAGCTCACATCAAAAGTTTTTCATGGTGCTTTGACCAGGATCAAACTCCTATCCTTGTCTTGCTGTCTCCATCCTGTTTTGCAATCTGTTTAGGGCAGTAAAAAAAACTTTTTTGCAGACGGATATAATCCTTGAAGGGGGGACCAAACTGTGGACGGTCACTCTTGTTTTCTAACAGGCGTTTGGCCCTTTTGGGTCGCTTCAAGGAGGTGAGGAGGCAATTCAGCTGTTTATGGATTATTTCCTATTGGTTGTCATGCATATTCACTTTACCACCTACACTTTCTGAAGTCGTTGGATTATTTGGTGTTTACGCACCTTTGAACTTTTTCTTTGGACTTATTTTATGCTACACTTTAAAAAAGTTTTTTTATATCATTGTTTGTGATATCACTTTAATAATGTTTATTTCTTATTATATTTTGTCTTTTAATCACTACACTTGTCACTACTGTGTGATATATAATCCCACATTTAGGGATTCACAGAGATTTTTTCACTAATTTTTCACTTTTATTTGGCAAATTTATAGCCTCTGTGGTCACCATTATTGTCAGCGTGATAACTGATCCCACATTTAGGGATTCACAATTTTTTATTATTTACTAATATTATTCACAATATTGCAGTCCTATTAGGACTTGTTTTATTTCTCCCACTGGCTTTTCTTTATGTTTATAGTATATATTCAGTTTCTTTTCTCACTATGGATCCCATAGTGGATCAGTTCACATCATGATCTGTGAGTGATTGGTTTATTTATTCACTTAATACACTGGGGGCAATGAATAGTCACATATAGGTTATGTTTGATATGAGCTATTTTGGATTATTATTATTTTTTTTTTCCAATAAGGATTTATTGAGCATCGAAAAACATAAACATAGACAAAAGCATGGGTTGTATCGATACAACAGTTTGCTAGACGCATCTAGCCTTATAACGAGAGTAAGTCAGACAAAAAGAAAGAAAAAAAAAATACTTGGCATGGAAGTTAAACACAGAAGAATGAGGGGGCAGACCCCAAACAACAACTTAAGAGAACTAAGAGGAGTCTAGAAGGACAAAAAATAAACAGGTTTTGAGTAAATATGGTCATAAGAACCTATTGTCAATATCGTGCGTAGATTCATGATAGAGCAGAACATGGAATCATTGACATTAGAGAACATTTTTGAGAACGGTGGATGTGGAGAAATTACACTGAGGGACGTTGATTGATAATGTGATTCTAGGTCAGGTGTGAAAATGTTCAGTTTAGTATGCAGGAAGCACCATACCAGCAAAAGAAAGGGAAAAGAGAGATAAAGAAGAAGAAAAAAAATGGGGGGGGGGGGAGAGAGGAGGGAGGGGTAGGGAAGGAGGGAAGAGTAGGGAAGGCGGGAGGGAATATGAGTGTTACAAAATGTAACTTAACCACTTGCCGCCCAGCCACTGTAGAAATACGGTGGCAGGGCGGCACAGCTGGGCAAAACCATGTTTTAAAACGTGTGTTTTTAAAACAGGTAGGGGGCGCTCGCAAGGCGCTCCGCCGCCCTACCTGTCCCGCCGATCACGGCTGCGGATGTCAGTCGCTGGGTCACAGCCAGCTATATCCCGGCGATTAGCGGCAATCAGTGACAGAGAGCACAGCTGTGCTTTCTGTCAGTTCCCTGACAGCTCCAGGACACGCTGATCGGGACAGAAGAGTTTATCTGTCCCGATCAGCTGTGTTCCCTGCAGTACACACCCCTGCCCCCTAGTAAAACTCTCCTCTCACACAGTTAACCCTTTCACTGAATAATAAAGGTAACCCCTTCCTCCCCAGTGCCATTAGTACAGTGTCAGTGGTTTTGTTTTGCACTGATCACTGTATTGGTGTCACTGGGGAAGTCAGTTCCCCTCCAGTGTCAGAATGTCCGCCGCAGTCCCGCCATAAGTCACTGATCGCCGCCATAAGTCACTGATCGCCGCCATAAGTCGCTGATCGCCACCATTATTAGTATAAAAAAAATTAAAAATCCCAGTATCTTTCCCACCATTTGTAAACGCTATAACTTTCACGTAAACCAATTAATTTACACGTAGGCACGGTAGGTACCACTTTTTTATTTTATTCTATTTATTTAAACCACTCCCACGTTTTGTCACTTTTTGCTTTCTTATGTGTGTGTTTTTCACGGATGGAGGGTGTGGGTCCTCGGGCCTTACCTGAAGTCTAGGGGGAGGATGTGTGGCCATACGGTTCCTTCCTCCCCTGATCCCTAGGGGGTTTTCTCTTCGGGAGAACCCCCTTGCCTAGTACTGGATGTCCGGCTTCGGCTGGGCATAAGGAACGGTGGTCCACCAGGCCTTTTGGCCAGGAGGACCAAATGGGAACCTTGTCCCCTGTCAGGAGCTTCGTGCCCCGGGGGATCGGGTGAACGGTCCAACCCTTTCGGGGGTAGGACAAACACACCCCTAAGTGCAACGTTTTTCGTGTGTGTGTTTCTGCACTTGCACTTTTTTGCGGACACTTACGGGTTTTTACGTTATAGTTCCACGTTTGCGGACTTAAAAAAAAAAAAAAAAAAAAAAAAAAAAATTAATTTACACGTATTGGGGTTTTTTGTAGCAAAGACATGTTGCAGAATGTATTTTGGCAGAAATTTATGACTAGATTTGATTTTTAAATTTTTTTTTACTGGACATGTTTTATAGCAAAAAGTCCAAAATATTGTTTTTTTTTTCCTCAAAATTGTCAGCCTTTTTTTTTTAAAGCGCAAAAAATAAAAAACACAAATACTATCAAATACCACCAAAAGAAAGCACAATTTGTGGGAAAAAAAGGATGTAAATTTCATGTATGCACCGTATTGCATGACCGCACAATTGTCTGTTAAACTAGCGCAGCACTGTATAGCAAAAAAATGGCGTATATTGCAGTATCTATACCATAGTTTGTAGACGCTATAACTTTCACACAAAGCAATCAATATACACTTATTGGGATTTTTTTACCAAAAACATGTAGCAGAATACATTTTGGCCTAAATTTATAACTAACTTTGAGTTTACTATATATTTTTTATAGCTGAAAGTAAAAAATATCGTTTTTCTTCAAAATTTTTGGTCTTTTTTTGTTTATAGCGTGAAAAATAAAAAGCACACAGGTGATCAAATACCACCGAAAGAAAGCTCTATTTGTGTGAAAAACAGGACGTAAATTTCGTTTGGAAGCAGCAATACATGACTGCGCAATTATCAGTTGAATTAGTGCAGCTCCGAGTAGCAAAAAGAGGCCTGGTCATTAAGGGGGGTAAATCCTCAGGAGGGCAAGTTATCGAGGAAGGATGACAGAGGGGGGTAGCATGTGTCTCTCACCCTCTCCGCCGGACTCCAAAGCATCACACCCCCCTCCCCCCGCACACCATAGAAGGCCGTGATGTGAAGGGAAAGGAGCACAACCAGATAGGATCCCAACGTTCAATCCCTTCCTCAGAGAAGTGTAGCCTGGAGAGAACCAGGTATATACGGGTGGTCTTATAGGTGGGCTGTAATGTCTTTATTGGGGCGAAGATTTGTCAATCAATAGAGCGAACTCTTTGGTTGTCTGGAAATGTGTCCAACAAGCCCATTTAGAAGCAAATTTGGCAGGAGAGTCTCGGGCAATAAAAATTAGTTCTTCCATTTCCGCTATTTTACGTATGCAAAGGAGCCAGTCGAAGGTTATGGGGACCCCCAGTGAACTGGAATACATTGTTTAGCTGCGTTAACCATGTGCATGGCTAGAGACTTAAAATAGGTCGACTGGGGGAGAGAGCCATTTTCTTGGGTGGGTACATTTACCGAGCCTTTGAGTGTGTTCAGATGAATGAATGCGGTCCCAGTCATCTTGAGTGAACGAAATTGAGAGGTCTCTTTCCCATGCCGCGCAAGCTGTGCCACTGTTAAAAAGGCGGTCGGAGCTCAGTTGAGAGTGGATGGTGGAGATTAGCTGACTTTGAGGCAATTGTTTAGAGCTCAATTTCTCAAATGGGCTCAGAAGTCTAGACACCTGTTGGGTTTTATCAAGCGAGTGTAGGTAATGTTGTACAAGCAGGTATGGCCATGGTGGTATAGGGTTTGTTCCTATGTTGGAGGCTAGCTGTTCCATGGAAAGCCTTGTGTTTCTGTTAAAGAATTGGTGGGCTATAATTTTTTTGAAAGGCCAATGGTCCTTGAGGAATCGCGGGTGTAAGCCTGGTGGAAAATCGGGGTTTTTAACGTAGAGGGGTAAGAGCCCTGGGACTGATGAAATCA